TGTCTAAAAATAAATCATATTTTTGATTGGACATCTGTGTGCATGAAAGTGCAAATCAATAAAATTATACATAAAATGCATTTAGGTAGAAAAAATGAATAAATCATGGTAAAAAGCTTTCCAATATGGTTTGTAAGATATGGTTTGTCAAATTGGGATCTGTGATATATTCTAATGTTTCAAAAGAAGTCTCTTCTGCTCAGCAAGGCTGCCTTTATTTGTACAGTAAAAAAATACATGCCTGATTCAAGTCTCAAAAATGGCCAAAAAATATTATTTTACTAACTTAATAATTTTAAGCTAAATTGTGCTTTGTTGGTATAATGTCTGCTAGAATGTTAAAAAAATGTTCAGTGTTAAGTAAATATTTTTTAATTGTTGTTTTGTAATTGATTTTTTATTTGAAAAGCAAGACAAAACAGTAAAAAGCACATTTTGGCAATTTAATGCAATTGTGAAAAAAATGGCAAAATAGGCCTACATGGGGGAAAAATGTGAAAAACCGTGTTCGGTATTCGGCCTTCGGCCTTCGGCCCAGTGTTTCATTTTGTTCGGCTTCGGCCTAGAATTTTCATTTCGGTGCATCCCTATAAATAACTATTTGTTTTGGCAGTTGATGAGATGGTGTTTATTCCTGGTGGGAAAATGATGATGGGAACCAGTGCTGCTGATGGGAGAGATGGGGAATCACCAACAGGAGCTGTGACTCTCCAGCCATTTAAGATAGACAAGTATCCTGTCACTAACTCTGACTTTAGGTACTTGCCATTGGAGATATTGGCTCAAAACCTACTTTGTCCTCCTACTGCTTGTATATCTTCTTACTGGCCTGATACAACTGCTTCTGTTCATTCCAGGGAATTTGTCAGACAGCAGAAATATAAAACAGAAGCTGAAAAGTTCGGTTGGAGTTTTGTGTTCCAGGATTTTGTGTCAGATGAACTGAAAAGTAAGGTCACTCAGAAAATTGAGGTATGAACCCAAAGCAAGAGCATAAACAAACTAAATCTACCTAAATCTATTATGTCCTAAATTGAATGTCTATTTCTTGTGTCTGGTTTTCAGAGTGTTAAAGGGTAATTTACATTAATCTAAACACTGCCTTTTAGACTAGATTTTCTCTTAAACCCTTTGTTCTCTTGAAAATGTCCCATTTCTTCTTTCCTAGTCGGCTCCTTGGTGGTTACCAGTCGAAAAAGTGTTCTGGCGACAGGTGACACAGTTAACACTTTATGTATGATTAATTCTAGAAGTGTATAAATGACTTTAATCAGTGGTCAACGAGTATTGTGTGTGTATATATAAATATATATATATATATATTTGCATTTATTAATTTATAAATAAAATAAATTAGTAAATAAATTATTTTGATGTTGTAAATTTAATTCATAATTTATTTCTTTATACATTTTAAAATGGTTATTTAATTAATAAGTCACATTATTTATTTTTACTGTATGAATGTCTGGGCTCTCTGGTTTTGATGTGTGCAGCCGGCAGGACCAGGCTCTGGTATCAAGGACAGACTGGAATCCCCTGTGGTGCAGGTCAGCTGGAATGATGCCCAAACATACTGTCAGTGGAAGAAGAAAAGGCTGCCAACTGAGGAAGAGTGGGAAATGGCTGCACGTGGAGGTTTGGAAGGCAAGCCAAAAAAGCCTTATGCCTCCCAACACCTAAAAACTGCTGTCTTACTCTTTGTCACGCAGTATTGTCCACCTGTTTTACTTCATTTCATGTAGTCATCATAGCCAGCACATTTCTGTATTTCAGGCAGGACCTACCCATGGGGCAACAAGTTCTTGCTGAACCGGACTAACCTGTGGCAGGTCAGTTGAGGTACATTCTTGTCCATAGCAGGTGGGAAAATGTGTATTTTTTCCTTCAAGACAGTTATAAATTTGTTTAGCTGTTGGTAATTGTGAAGTCTTTGTTCTTTGTACAAAGGGCCCATTTCCAGATAGGGACGCCGCAGAAGATGGTTATCATGGTGTAGCTCCTGTAACTGCCTATCCTCCACAGAATAACTATGGTAATGTAGTATATACAGTATGGTATCACACATTGTACTGATGGTGTGTTACATTTTATCAACAACATAATTCATAGACGGAGACAAAGCTTCCTAGAAAATCTACATTCAAAAGTTTGGGGTTGGTAAGATTTTTAAAATGTTTTTAATCTCTTATGCTCACCAAGGCTGCATTTATTTGATCAAAAGTACAGTACAATAGTAATATATTGTGAAATACTATTACAATTTTAAAATAAGTATTTTCTATTTAAAAATATTTTAAAATGTAATTTATTTCCGTGATGGCAGCAGTCATTAGTGTCACATGATCCTTCAGAAATCATTCTAATATATTGATTTGCTGCTCAAGAAGCATTATTATTAAAGTTGAAAACAGTTGCTTAATATTTTTGTGGAAATTGTGATACATTTCTTTTCAGGATTTTTTGATGAATAGAAAGACCTCAAACTTTTGAACGGCAGTGTAACTCTTTCACTATTGTTCTGAATTTAGAGAATAATATCCCACCTTGTTCCAGGACTATATGACATGCTGGGTAATGTCTGGGAGTGGACCTCCTCACGATTTCCTGGTGCTCAGACCATGTACGTCCTGCGCGGAGCATCCTGGATCGACACAGCCGATGGCTCGGCCAATCACAGAGCTCGTGTCACCACTAGGTCAGTCATGCTCCATCCTGCTACATTCATATTATTCAAAGTCAACTTTTATAAGGCTTTTATTATTCATTATACAATTGCTTCTTGTAACATTTCCAGGCAGCTGACCCCAAACGTGTCTGGATTGTCCAAAATATCAGTTTATGAGAATATGATAAATAAAAACTTGTGTTTTTATGTTCTCACATTCAGGATGGGAAACACACCAGATTCGGCCTCTGATAACCTGGGCTTCCGCTGTGCTATGAGCTCAAATGCAAAACAGAAAAGAACTGAGCTTTAAGAGCCGAATGTGCAAGACTAGTTGATGCCAGTGGTGCATTATTGGAGGGATACTACATTTCTCCTGTGGAGACACAAACTTCTGGAATTCAGTGTTATATCGGTTTTGTTGTTTTACACAAAATACTGTGAAATTAAAATCTTAACAAGCAATCTTAAAGTTTTCTTTATTTTTTTTAGCCTTTCTTTATGGTCATTAAAATCATTTAGATAAAAAATTTAAGCAACATCATATATTTAAAATAGAATAAAAATGTAATTGTATTAAATAACACCACACATTAAATAGTTTGGATCTCAACTGTACATTTTTAACAATATTATTTCCTTTTCACTGTGTAAATAAGGTGGAAATAATCTGTCATAGCAGTAGAGGTGTATTTTTGGACTGTTATCAACATGTTCTTGAGGTAAATTTTGCTATCTGGGATTATTCAGAGATGATGACCCCTCACCAAGTCCTGGGTGACACATCCATCTCCTCAGCTGCAATGGAGAGCATGACTTTTGGAGTGTTCTCAAATAAAGCTGCTCTGTTCTGAGTTGGCCCTTTCTTCACCCAGTGGCCGTAGACCTTGAAGGCACATGCGTCGATCATCTTGCGTAGTGGTTTGATGGCATATGGGTCACTGCAGATCACTTCCTTGGTGACAGGTTTGGCACGACGACAGTTGCAGTAGATATGCATGGCGGCAAGTACAGTCATACAAATAACCTGCAGGATAACGATGGTGTATGGTGAAACTCAAAACCTCAAAATCTATGCCTTCTTAAAGAAGTCATCCAGAACATCTGCTCTTTACCTTGAACGTCCTGTAAGGGCTGAAATGACGTATTTCTGCATCCACGTACTGCTGGAAGAACGGGTGATTGAGGGCTTCTGTGGCTGTATAACGACTTTGTGGGTCCACAACTAATAACCTGGAAATCTGCTGGGAAGAAAACAAGGTGACTTTGGAAAGGCATTTTCTCATACAATTTTGCGTAACTACTTTTCAAACTAGTTGTCGGGAAGACAAACAAGACCGCAACCAACTCGCACCAAGTCTTTGACAGTGTCATCCCACTCCGGAGAACTGAATTTGTATTTTCCTGCAAGAATCATTCGAAGCATCTGCATTTGTTTCCTGTGCCAGAAAGGTGGAGATCCAGCCAAAAGAGTGTAGAAGATCACGCCTGCGCTCCAACTGCACAAGAACAGACAGAAAGAAGGTTATGTAACATCACATTCATCTGCTAAACATACTAGTTTGTTGTAATCAATTCATATTCTACTGGTTCACTGTCACTGCCAGGAAGTTCATGTATTTATTTATTTGGTTGGTTTATTTGACTGTTAATGCAATATTTTTCTAGGCCACATGTTAATTTTCTGTAGGATACAGTTCAAAACGGTTCTAAATAAACACGTCAGTGGATTTTGATGTGAGATGACAACAGGGAATGGACTTTTTCACTGGAGAAAGCTTTATTATTGATTATGGGCTCGTTTTTTGGCCAGAAGCCACAGTTTAAAGTTAAAAGGCCTTAATGATTTATTGTTTCTTACAAATATGCAGCTTTTCGCTACACAAGACATTAATTGATGGACTGGAGTCGTGTGAATCGTGTTGTTTTTATCAGGTGTTTGAACTCTCATTTTGACGGCACCCATTCACTGCAGAGCATCCATTGGTGAGCATGTGATGTAGTGCAAACTATCTCCAAATCTGTTCTGATAAAGAAACAAACTCATCTACATCTTGGATAGCCTGAGGGTGAATACAGTTTAAGCAAATTTTCATTTGTGGGTGAACTAATCCTTTAAAAAGCATTTTTAAATATCAATAAATACTTCAAATATAACAGAATATAGAACTAAAATAACACTGGTGCATACTTAATTTATGCACTTACAGGTCAACAGCAGACCCATAACCAGCATGATTGGGATCCATGGAGCACTCAATGATTTCTGGAGCCAAGTAACCTGGTGTCCCACAAACCTCTAGGGGTGAAACAGAAGCAGGTTCTCCCATAACCAGCATGATTGGGATCCATGGAGCACTCAATTATTTCTGGAGCCAAGTAACCTGGTGTCCCACAAACCTCTAGGGGTGAAACAGAAGCAGGTTCTTCTAAACTACAGTATCTGCAATCATTCCTTCCAAATACGTATATTTAAAGGTGCACATAAGAACTCACCATTCAGTCTTTGTCCATGCTCAATCTGGACCGAGAAGCCAAAATCAGTGAGTTTGATATTCACATCATCATCTAACAGAATGTTCTCTGGTTTCAGGTCACGATGGACTATATTGTGGGTGTGAAGATACTCAACCACCTCCAAAAGAGTGAGAAAAGAGAAAACTGAGGGCCAGTAATCAAGATCTTGCCAATAAGATTAATACAGCAGCTGCAATGAATGGATTAGTTTCTTTAAATATTTTACTTAAAAGCTAAATTTTAGCAGTTATTCCTCCAGTCTTTAGTGTCACATGATCCTTCAGAAATTGTTCTAATATGATGATTTGGTTCTCAAGAAACATTTCTTATTATCAATGTTGAAAACAGTGCTGCCAGTACACATTTTACAGTACAACATTTCATACAATTCATAAAAGTAGACAGAGCACTACATTAATGTATTTATTCATTTTGGAAACTGATACATTTAACAACATTTCATACAATTCATAAAAGTAGACAGAGCACTACATTAATGTATTTATTCATGGTAGTGTGCCGTGGCCCGTGACCTAACTTTAAACCCATCAACACTCAAGATGCCCCGCTGTTGTTGGAAACAACTTAAACGGTTTGATTATACAATCCCCTCTTCAGCATAGGATTTGTTCTTCACAATTTAAATACAATCAGGAGCATCGAAAATTGGTTATCATCAGACTTATTACCGTGTCTCTTTCTCACTTAGGGTGACTTTCTCTGTGAGGTAATCAAAGAGTTCTCCTCTCTTCGTCCTGTTAAAAGAACATTTGTCTTTAAACACAAACTAATAAATTAAAAAAACTAAGGAATGATAAGCAATACCAGTTAGTCTGGTGATGTACAATTGGCACATTACAGACAGACAATTGTAATGGCATCTGTTCAAAATATAAGTGTCAAAAGAAGAAATTTGGAGGGATTTTGTGCATGTTTGTATTGAGAGTTAGGCTCTGGCAGAAACTTGGCATCTTGGCAATGAGCCATATTGTGGGCTCTTAGAATAGCCCGTGTCTTATCTGTATGCTGCGGAGTGTCAACCAACCGATAATCTCCACAGGGAACATCTAGAAATCTGAATAGAGAGCAAACTTGTAAACAAAACAACAGTTAGCGGTGAAAATGGGCTACCAGGGAAATGAGGATAAAACTTAATTTTTTTACATTTTCTGTGCTAAATTTGAGTGGTTTGCTTGTGCAAAAAAATTGCAGCCACAATTAAATAGTTCTGAGGGTGACGGCTAAAAGTTTGGCATAGGTTTCTCAAGTCTATGTGACCAGAAACAATAGTGATCCACAGACATGAGAGCTGTATGTGCCGTTAAAAGAGATTGAAGCCGTACTTACAGATCAAATACCAAACTTTACAGATCGTCTTTATGCACCAAGAGCTTGTAACACTTCAAAGAGAAAGGAAAAATTGAAATCGCATCATATGACCCCTATAAATGCCCTGGTCTTTAATGGGGAGTGTTGCTCAGCTCGTCTCACAGCAGCTCAAGAGTGTTAAGATTGAGTGAAATACATGTCCACTGAAGGATTTTCACCTCAGGAGAATGAATATCTTCATTGTCATGTTAAAAAAAATGCCCAACAATGCAGGGAATGAGAAGAGGGTAGCATCTTGAGTTTCAGGTTTTTGTATTACATCACAGTGGTGTGTGAATTCATGACAGCGTTGATAAAGTACAACTCCCTCACACCTTCAGCACTCATACATCCCTATAGAAGAGCTTTACTACCACTGAATGCCACTGTGGGAACCAAGCACTTCTCTCTGTACTCCTCCTCTAGCAACACCAGAACATTTTGGATGCTGTTAGATCCGAAATGATTGAATTGGTCTCATGAGACCAGAGTATGGATTCCCAGAACCTATTGCAAACCTATCCCATACGATTATGTTGAGCTTTTGAATGCAAGGACCAATCAGAGGCGTTCAGATGAGTCATCGCTGAAACGCCGCTGTTTCGTCACCGCGCGTGCTGGCTGACTGAATTTTCTGGCTAATTCTCTCATCAGAAACAACAAAGTGAAGATGTACGAATGTAAGTAAGATATTAATTTCACAGTGTAAACAGCTTTAGAGATTATTATGGAAGTTTTTGAGAGTGCTTGAACTAGCTGGACTGAAGTGAAAATTTACTTTGATAATGTAAACGTTCTTTGCTCTCTATTTGTACAATGAAAGTATTATAGGCTAATTAGTAACTTGCAATGTTTTTATTAAATTCACATTAAATACAAAGTCAGTCGTATTAAAGATATTTTATGGTATGACACCCATATCTGTTACTTAAGTAAAAAGACGGATTTTTATGCAAAGTTAATAGATTATTAGGCTACTTTGCCCATCGCCCATTATAGATCAACTAACATAATCTATAAAGGTGCAAAATGCACTTACTTACACATATTTGAGAATCGAGATATTTCATGATATATTTTGGGAATATTTCAAATAAATATATAAAAAAATTATAAACCCCTGCTGAAAAAAACAATAGACACCATTATAAAATTTGTAATGGTTTTACTGGTTATAATGGGACTTGTATTGGTTTTACTGGAAACTGTAATGGACCCTGTTGGTCTCTAATTGGTTGCCTTCTACTGGTGGCTTGTTAAAACCACTAAATCCTAATGGAGTATGTCCCAAAACACAGTACAGAAAACCATTTTTTAATGGTTTTAATGGTTAAAAGTTGATGGTTTGTAATGTTTGTAATGTTACGTAAACCATAAACATTTTCTGTGATGGATTTATTGTTTTGTTTTTTTCAGTAGGGACATAAGCCTATATCAGTCGTACAGTCTGCTGTGTGTCACATGACAAGCATGAGAGCCTTTAAGGTTAAGATGAATTTTAAAATTGTGCCCCCTAAAAGCACAAGTGGCCCCTGTCTGGCCCCCTGCACATAGGCGGTGTGTAAGGCTGGGGAAGGCTTAGCCTTAGAGTTGGGGCAAAAATGCCACTAAATTGGACAAAAATGCCCCTGCACAAACAAATTAAATCTATTACGACTATTGCTAACAAAATGAAAATGAATAGAAAGTGTCGATTGCGGGATTAAATTAAGATCTGCTCATGTTGCACCGTATTTCATTTTAGGCGTTTTTGCAGCGTTTACAGCGCATTATAACCAATCACACACGATTCTGTTGAGCTTAGGAAAGCAATGGCCAATCAGAGGCGTTCAGATGAGTCATCGCTGAAACTCATCAGTTTTGAGTGCGCGCGCGTTCGCTGACTGAATTCCGGACGCGCAAAGGTATGTGCAATGTAATTAAGAGATTCATTTCACAGTGTAGACAGCTTAAGTGATTATAACGATAGTTTTGTTTTTTTGAGAGTGCTTAAACTCGCGATAGATCAA